TAAATTAATTTATTTTAATCATTTTGAGGCTTATGCCTCGATCCGCCTCGAGGCTTACGCCTCGTCTCGCTTAGAAAAAACGCCTCGATTCCCGATTTCGCCTTTTAAAACCTTGGAATGAATTTCAGATCGTATTGCATCTTTAATCATTATTTAGGTGAAATTTTTTCCATCAACAACAAGGTTCAAGTCAAGAGCCTTAAGGAAGATTAAGGCATAAGCCTTAAACCAAAAAAAAAAAAAAAACTCATAAAAACAAATATAATTCATAAATATGCCATAAATCATCAAATCTTAACTTAATTCATCATCAAAATGGTCTCTAAAATGATACTTCGACTCTTTTGAATAACCAAAATGACACCCAACTTAAAGGACCATTTTGGTCCCTCAAGTCTTTAAAAAGGAATTAAAATAGTATCATGGTGGGATTATTTTGGTTCTTCTTTAAGGATTTGAGGGACCAAAATTATCCTTTAATGCATTTGAGGACTTTTTTGATCTTTCATAAAGAGTTAAGGGACCATTTTGATCAAATTCTCATTTATAATTTTAATTGAAATGAAATTCAAGTTAAGCCCTTATTAAAACTTAAATATGCCATTAGGATAAGGATTTGTATCATCCTTATCTTCAGTTTCAATTAAAAAATTAAAATAAAATAAAAGCATAATAAAAAAAAACAAAAACAAACAAATTAAACAAAAAGAAAAAAAACAACACCTAATTTAAAAAAAAAACAAAAAAATGAAAAAAAAAATTAACACAAACTCACAACGATCAATGCTGAAGCTGAAGCCTTCTCGCAAACACTTGCTCCGTACATCATAAACACTTGTTCCGTACAACAATCGCATCAATTAGCACTCATTTTCTACTTGCCCATGATCTGATTCCAATTTGCACATGATGCCCTTGACTTCTGCTAGCACATAACTCCTGCTCACAATCGCTCATTCTCCTCTCAAATCAAAACCTTTAACTCTAAATAAGTCTAAACCCTAAAATTAAAAAAAATTAAACTCTCTTATCTATAACTTAAGAATGTATTTATTAAAGTAAATTTTAATTTGAGGCATTCATCTCTTGCATCCTACGGCACACACTACAAAAGAAAAAAGCATAAGCCTCGCTCGAGTTAGAAAATCATTAAACTTGAGGAACTTAATGGGCAACTCATAGTGAGGCATGCCTCGAGACGAGCACCTTCATTGCTTTTTTGAGCTATGATTTAAAGTCCTAGTTCATCAATATAAGGTGGAGCATCAATGTGATGTTCTAATGGTGGGAAATAGGACTCGTGTGCTCAATTGGGAATATAAAAATAGGGGTTTGGAGATGTGAAACCCTCAACTTGCACTTGGAAGTGGTATGCTCTTATGGAAATGATCTTATGTATAGCTACGATAAGTTTGTCAATGACTTTGAGGATAATAGATGGATAATTATTATGGGATCTTCTTAAAAAATGATAACCAATTCTTGAGTTTAAATAATTCTAAACTTTGGTACCGAGATAAGCTCCCCTTGGAGACTATGAAATGTAAGAGTGGTGGCACATGAGGAGAAGAAAATAAAAGGAAGAAAACCTTGATTTGTGAAGTATATGGTAGATTTAGTTCTTAAGGTTAAGGATTATGTTTTAAGATTTGGTTCAAATAAAGAATTGTGAAATAGAAAGGTGTCAGAAAGAGATGGAAATGTACGTTTACAGATAGAAGAAGATAATTAAGGAGGAATTAACATAGCCAAAGTAATTAAGTGTAAGGTCAATTGTGCTTGACATTAGATGGATGAAAGTGATTACTTATAAAATTATAAGGAAGATCAAGAGACAACTTGATTAAAGGAATTTAATAAATTAATTTTGACCAAGTTCGACAAACTAACAATTTGATGAGAAGTCAAAGAGTAATACAAGTTAAGTTATGACTATCAGAACCAATTTTATATTTAATTAGCTAATTAAGATGTTAAACTAAAATCACAACTAGCTCGGTTTGGTAGACTTAGGTTTTGTTGTATCCATAGGCTCTACAGTGGGAATTATGGGATGGGGTGTTTAATCTTGTTAAAAAAGACCTATAAATCAGAAAACAAGTCAAACATCATGAAATTGAACCAAAAAATAAGTGAGAAAATTAGAAAATATTGAGACAATGCAAAATAGAAATCTAAAAGATGAAGGAAATGTTGGATAATTAGTTTCCATATCAAAACTTATGAAAATTAGATAAAATTTTTACTCGAGTTCATACAGAATGTCATAAAATGCATATTCAAATTTCATCAATCTTTAGATAGGTTTGACAACTAAACTGAAATAAATAGCAAACAAATTAGGACATTAATTTTGTTAACTTTGTATAAGACCTTAACCCAAACTTCTGCATAGCAATATGCCAAAATTCATATTGAAGCAAAAAATTAAATGGATAGCCTTAGTTAGCTCAAGAGAGAGTCATTGATAGAGATCTTGGCTCTGCAGAATTAATGAAGACATTGACCTTCCGGTGCAATTGTTTAAATTTTTATACTAATGGGAAGTGTGGTGAGGAAAATATGCTATAGTTATCGCACTCAAGGCAATTCCCTTAGGACCAAAGGTGACTTTTTGGCTAAAAAGCACAATTTTTGTGGCAAATCCTTGGCTAACATTGTAGGCATAAGACATGCCATACCATGTAAACTAAAGGGCTCGAAGGCATGAAAAATGAAAAGTTGTAGTTTAAGAGTATTGCTCAACATAACCAATAGTGCTCAAAGGCATTGCATAGTGAAACGAGTTCCATATGGTTGAACTTTGGATAACACATGTAAATAATGGGCAAGACATGCATGGATTGATTTTATAGAGTTCGGCCAAATTGTGGCACTAAGGCAGTCAATGTGGTTTGAGAGCTATTTATAGTTTACATCCTTTGAATAGATTTACATGCTTAGAGATGCATCAAGGTCATAGCACACATTGCAGAACATATGATGCTTGCACTATTGGGGATGTATTCTTGTCCCTTGGGCACTAATGTGTTAACATGCATATCAATGTGATCTGATATTTAAACCTCCAAGGGTAGGGTTTACTTGGATCTTTGTCTTGACATTTAAGCCAATACAACTTAAGCCTATACAATTAATCCAATTAGGTGAGTTAAAAAGAAGCTTATGAATACATATGGGCATGCATTAAGCCAAGAAGGGATATATATCCATAAGAAGTTTACATCACCAAGGAGTTTCATTACAATGATGAGCACACTTTTGACATCTCATTAATTAAAATGGCATTCTTCATTCCCAATAAAGGATAACCATGATGGGAGTAGGAGGGATAAGATCATTACCCGTCTCTTTATTTTGCTCCTCAAATCCCATCAAATCATCTTTATATCTATATTTTATTTAGTTTTAACAAAATAATTGATTCAAGAATTTGGGATCATTTTACAGCTATAATAGAAGATATTTATAATTTTATTTCATGGCATACGAGAATCGAATTAAAAGTTACTAGCACTTAAATACCACTCAATCCGTCACTATTACTCTCTCTAACTGGTAACCTTCCATTGCCCGAGCCTTCTCTCTTTGCATCATATCTTTCTCTCTATATATATAAATTACATGCCAACCAATGTAAAGGGCACCCAATTTGAGGTAAACCAATTAAAACAATGCATTGCCAAAATGAAGTTAATCACTGAGGTAAAAATAGTAGATCTTGCTTATCAAAAATAAAGCTTGCTAACCTTGTTTATGTTATTGAATGTAAGAAAACCTTAGCATGAACTCCTAAGCCATTATTGCAATGTCCCCTCAATTCTTATCAAAATCCATTAAAAGAAATTCTTAGTATTCCATTGTGCCTAAACCATTAAAACCTTAAAATGATTAAAAAAAATTGTGCCTAAACCATTGATACCAAATCTTATGTTACAATTTCGAAGGGTTAAATCACCAGGGCTAGCAACAAATCATAGAGTACTTTCAAGCAAGGTCTCACTTCAGCAAATGAACATAAATTTCTTTATTCATGGATAAGTATTCAATTCAGACATCACTCCAAAACAATACATATTTTTGAGGTGAAATACAGCAATACTTATAACATAAATGTTCCCTGCTTCTTGAATTTCAACATGCTTATCATTATTCATTTCTTTCTTTTTTTCTTTCTATAATTGACCCTTTATCTACCTAAGCTTTCTGACCCGGCAAGAATGCAGGTCAAAATATTTTGTATAATGCTGATGAAATTATAACTTTCACCTGAGGTTACACAAACCACAATGCTTAAATATTATATATATATATATATACCCCATGTAACATACAATAATTATCATCTACAGGATAGATATTTTATTAAATAACAATGCTTTATTAAGATCTGTGAAAAGGAAAACAGGATCCAAAAGGTATCAGAAAAGCACACATCAAAATTTCTTGCATTCCCAATATTCAGTGAACAGCTGAAATATGAAAAAAGTCATCTGAGAAAAATGATTTAAAGAATATTTACAGGTTGTTAGAAGCTCAAAAATGTACACACAACCTCTTTATGTAAACAAATAAGCACTCAGCTGAAACTACTTTGTTCAGTTTAGGGATCCAATAGATGTTTGAAATCAGGAAAATGGAGGCCTTTTCATCTCATGATCCTGAAAGGCATCTACATAGTATCCTGTTCAATCAGCTTGCATTTCCTAAGAATTGAAGTGTTTCAACAGCCAGCGAATTGTTAATCTGTTAGAAAGTAGATGGTCCATTTGATAATCTTAAAAGCTTATAAGCATAAGAACTAGTTCCTAAAAATGTAAGCATTACTTTCTTCCACGTATGGTTATCTAATTTCAAAGATTCAAATAAAAGATCGAGAACAGTAAAACAACTGGAAAAGGAAATCCACTGAAAAAAATAATAATATTAATCCAGCAAACTACTACAACATCTAAAGCGTATTAATTAACAATGAAAGAAAAATAAAAGATGAAAAATACCTCATATTCACTCCACCTTTAACCACGTATCTCGAGACATTTTGGCTAACCCAAACGTCCGCAGCAACAGGAGAGGAGCTAAGAAGTTCCAGCATTTCGTTCGGGATCCCAACCATGACTTCGATGTTACTCCCCATCAGCGCCCTAAGGATCGAAGGGTCAGTATCGAAGAGCTTCACTTTCCCAATCCTATTTTCCTTCAAGAGATCTACAACTATGGGAGGAGACAGCCGGTGGGTAGAAAGAATCCCCCAGTTCACACCAATGTCAGCCTCAGCCTGCAGAAGAGATCCCACAAGGAGAAGGATAAGCAAAGCAAGAGCCGTGTTCAAATCTGCCACCGCCATTTCTCATCCCCTAAGAAAAATCACACCAAAATGGAAGATGTATGAGGTTTCTTTGATTGTTCACTGAGGACGGACTTCTGAAGAAGTCGCTCAAGGATCGAGCAACAGAAAGTAGTTGAGGCAGAGGAGAAGAAAGCGCAGAAGAACTGTCAGTCCGACTGATTCAGAGAGGAAAGAGAATGATCAGCACACTTACCCGCTGAAAGCACCGCCGCTCTAACAGGGCCTTAAAAATAATATTTAAACGCCTGTCGGTATAATTCATGAGCCGTATAATAAATGAGTAAAATTAAATGATAGAAATAAATTTGATTAAAACATTAAAATTCTTGATTAAATGTGCTTAATTATATTTAAAGAAATAATTATATCACTAATCATGTAAATAAGAATGATTAACCTAATCTAAATAACATTAATATTTCGTAATTAAAAATATGTTTTGAATGACGGCAATATATTATAAATTTGATTGTAAAATTATTGCGACGAAACTAATTTAGCTACTTGTTGCGGGCTAGAATATACGCGGCGATAGAGTTAGAAAGTATTCGTCTTAGCGTTGTATGGATATTCAGCACACAAACAGAAGATAAAAGAACAACAAGATTTTCACGTGGAAAATCCTGTAAAGGGAAAAAACCACGGGGTCACGCCCAATTGAAAAAGTTTTACTAGTGTTTGCTTGAGATAAAAGAGGTTGACTTGTCCGTAAAAGTTAGGACGATCAGATTACAATGAATCACTTATGAATTGAAATCTAGTTACAATGTTGGGCAGAGTTCTGACATCACTTGGAGGTCAGGCAGAATTCTGACGTTGTTTGAAAGTCGGCAAGAATTCTGGCGTCACTTGGGCGGAGTTTCGGCGTCGGGCAGAACTCCGGCGTTACTTGGGCATGTTGACCTCATTTTTGTATGAGGTCACTAGGGCCAATCCAGACCTTAGGATCTACCTAGATCTTAGAAATTTAAACCAAAATTCAATGCTAAAAGCCAAGTCCTAAAAGCCTTTTTCATTGAATTTTCAAATAATTCAAAACCCAATCAAATGACCTCTGATTCAGAATCTATCACTTGCACAGTGATAAGACATGTCTATAGAGGCAACCCTCCAAATTTGAGTCCATTCTGAGGTCTCTAACCCCAGAAATCGAATCAAAATCCAAAGGCTGTAAAACATTCAAATATTTACAGTCTATGCTACTAGACCTGCCATCCAGTGGATTTTGACCCTGGAGCTTTCTCCAAAGCTTCCAGTCATATCCAGACCATTGATATTGACCTATTGAGTAATAAACCACCTTTTGTTGAACCCATTTTGAGCCCCAGTTGACCAGGGGTCAAAATGACCAAAATACCCTTATGGGGTTCAAATATTCATTTCAAACCAAACGACCTCCAAATTGATTGCAACCCCTCCAACAAGTTTCGAATATTAAATCAAACCTGTTGGACCCATTTCCAAACTCTGGGTCAACCTGGTTGACCTAAGAGGCCCTTCAAGGGTCCAAACAGGTGATTTGACTGAAATAACCTATCTAAGCCATGGGACCACCTCTAATGATCTCCAAATGCCATTTCAAACCTGTTAAGCCTTGACCCACCCCTTGGGTCAACCTAGGTTGACCCAAATATCCTTTAAGGCTCTAAATGGGTCACTTCAACCCATTTGACCTATCTAACCCATTCAAGCTCTCAAACTCATTTCAAAACCTAACTCAAATCCATCCAAATTTATTTGAAGTCAAATCATGTCAAATTTGACTTAGTCAAACTTCAATTTATTGGTCAAACCTTTTTGAAATCCTTTCTAATTCATTCAAACTTCAATCTTCAAATATCAAATCCCCTTCAAGGCCTCCCATCAGCTCACTTAGTCTCTTGGCATGCCATGTCACCTAAGTGGACCTGTTGACTAGTCAAACCAGCCAACAAATGGTCAAGGGAGCTTTTAAATGTCCCAAACCATGGATGACATGGCACTACATTCATTCCAGCTCATTCCAGTAGTCTAGAATCACTCTAGAACCTTCTCTAGGACCTTCTCCATCCCTTAGATCTAAATCTAACAGCCCCCATTATTCCATGTGTCCAAATGGAGACCAAGGGATATTTTCCACCTCATGTACCCTTTGTCCTTTGATCCACTTGCTCTCACCAACTCCTTGGACAGATGGCTTGATCATAGACACTCCATCAGTTGATCATAGCCGTCCATTTAATCTAGGGACAAGTGAATAGAGCAAAATATCTTAATTAAGGGATATTTTAACCATAAGCTCAAACACTTAATATCTCTCATCCAAAAAGATATTCCAGCCTTCAAAACCCTTAAAAACCTTCTCCAAGCCTTTCCCTAGCCTTCCCCCACCAGATCATGGCCTCCAAAACTCTAATTGGAGAAGAGAGATAGTTTAGAGAGAGAATCTGGAAATTCCAGAATAACTTCAAATCCAACTAGATCTAACTCCTGAGGTCTTCTACAAAGTTGAAGAAGATCTTAGCAGCTTTCCAACAAGCCCAAAAAGTCAAAAATCCGATAGTTGGATTGTAAGTTATGCCCATTTGACGTTTATATTTCAATTTGAAACTGTGGTAAATCTACAATGCATGGAGCCTCCAAACTCCAAGCATTGTTAGATCATGTTGTCCTCTAGCTACAGTTCAAATTTCATGCACTTTTGAAAGTTATTGGCATTTGAAAATTCTTAATTCTAGCTCAACCAGAGCCATTCGATTGCACATTTAGCGCGATCGGACGACCTAGAAAACCGCCACATCACCCTTTTCCGACCGCGTGCATCTTCCCTTAGATTCGAACGAGCGCCCCTCAACAGTCTAGGTGCTGACGTGGCGCGATCCTGGCCGTTGGTTCGTTCCGCAGCCGAATCAGCGGACCTGATGGACCGCTAACATGGTTAAGTGACAGGACCTAGCCCGCCACATGGCACCCTGCCATTGGGTGCTGCCGATCCGGCGGCAACCCGGCGCCGGCGGTCAGTTGCAAAAATGATAAAAAAAATTCATAAAAATGCTCAAATCTTTCAAAATTCATAGAAAATCGAATATTTCACCAAATTAGACATTCTTGGGCTCATTAGAAAGGGAATTTAATGTAGTATTTATTAAAATTAAAATTAAGTTAGTTTGGTCACTTTGTTGTGAGATATTATTGATTGTTTGAAATCAGTATTTTATAAATTTCTCATAATCCAGTGGTCAATTGAGCCCCAAATTTTGGTGAAAGATTAATGGGTATCTTAGACATGTTCACTGATTTTTCTAGGATTAGATACCCAATGAATTTCTGTGATGTGAATTTTCAAGGTAAAGGGTCAATTTTAGACCCTAAATTTTAAAAATTCATAACTACCTAAATTCTTAGTGTTTTGCTGAGAAAATCCTGTGGTGTGAATGCATGTGCACCAGGGTTAGACACGCCAAATTTCAGGCCAATTTGAATAGTAGAGACACCTATGAAAAATATTTAAGAAAATGTATAGAAAACTTAGAAAATTTTTAGGGCATTGTACACACACCCAATAGGGGAAAACTTAAACAAAGTAAACATAGTGACATTTTAAACCTTAGGTTCAAATTTCATCTAATTTGAAGGTCATTAAGTTAGAAAATCAAACAAATAAAACATCTGCATCATTAAGGACTTTAAAACTTCCAAATATTATAATAAATCAAATTTAAATCCAAAAAATACAAACAACCCTTAAAACTGACCATAATTGAACCATTAATCAATAAAAAATAAAACCAATTTAATTTGATAGCAAATTAAAGCTTAATTTATTTTTAAGTGAAATTGAATATTTAATTAATTAAATTAATTAAAAATAGATAAAAATTCCAAAAAAAATTCCCAAACACTTGAGAATCACTCCTTAGGTCATTACTGACCTTTGAAGTTGATTTCAAGGAGTTGAGAATTCATTTGGAGCAAAATCGAGAAAACCCTTCTAATTAAATAATTTCAAAAATTCAATAAATACATCAAACTTCAAATTTCATAACTAAATGTAAAAAAATCTAAATTGACCAAACTTACTTGAATTCAACTCATAATGATGTCTAATATTTATTAAAAATATCAAAATTCCAGAAAACTATTAAAATTGAAAAGTCAACAAAATGGTCAACCTTAAGTCAAACTATGGTCAAAACTTCAAACTAAATCCAGAAAAATCCAATTTCAGCATACTTATAGTCTAATTGATCATATTAAGGTCTAGTATTTTAATAAAATATTAATTTTTTAGAGGACACTCTTAATTAAAAAGTTAATTTTTGACCCCTTAATTAAATTATTAAAATAATCCAAAAAATTCCTAAAATTTGAAAATTGTCCTAAAACTCCAGAAATCATTAATCAACCTCAAAATCAATTTCAAATCATTAATACTTAAACTCAAATTTAACTCTTCGCTCAAGCCTTTCAACCAATCAGAACTTCAAACAACTTTAACAAATTACCATCCATAGGATATATCCAAACCATACGGCCTACCTCACACACTTTAAATGATTTTCTAGGACAACCAACTCTAGTTTTAGAATAGGTGTTTACTTTTTCGCCGTGTGCCGAATTTTCAAGCTTTCACTGCATGCTGGTTGTTATCTTAGAATTGATTGACTGTCTGTTTATTTATTTACTGCACTCTGTTGAGCATTTAAATTTCAAATATATCAACTGCTTGAGATTGATTATAACTGCTTGGGATTATATATAACTGCTAATTATTATGATAACCCTGCAGGATCAAGTCTAGATTTTTCAATTTTGATTAAAGCAATTTGATATAATTTGAGTTGTATTTAAAGTGATTTGAGTTAGGATGTTTAGATCCAACTTGAATTTCAAAGAGGAGAAGACATCCCTAAAGGGGAGAGTCTTCATCCATTTGAATGATCAAGTTTGGATGCTTTTCAAATATCCAAAGAGGAAAGATAACACCCCGTTCAAGGGGGAGTTTCTTTTCATTTGGATATCCAGAACCGACGAATCAAGATGCTCGTGAGAAGATAAAGAAGTGGATAACAAGAAGAATCCCAAATCTTAAAGTCACTTGAGTCTTAGGATTAAAAACCCGGGTTGTTGTTAGGTGCCCAGCCACTTTACTTTCAGCAGACCCTGGTTTGTAATAAGCAAGACAACTTTGCCTATGGACATTAATTAATTAATTCATTTATATTT